ACTCACCTTGGAAGGACATAAGTATCAAATGGAAAGAAAGAATACAACCATTCATCTTTAATAGATTGGTCTGTAACTCTGATGTGACCATCCATTACTACATAGCAATATGTTAATTGATAAGTTTTAGTGATATATGCAAAACGGTTGACTACAGCGGAACAACATAATCGTAATGGACTTAAACGGCACGTTACTATTTTAGATAAATTTAGATTTTCCATAAACTTTAAATCTGTAACAAAAAATGTTTATAATTATCACTGTTGAGTGAAAGAAAATAGCATTATAACTAATACTATATAATTATAAAAAAATCTTACTTCGTTTGCTTTCCATAAGATCTTGATGCCTGAATGAAATAATATAAAATAATGATTGACATATTGAATAGAACACTGCATGACATCTCAGTAAATCTTCAGTTACTACTCTAACTGTTTTATCTACCCTATTTATATAATTAATACACCATGAAGAAATTTCTGAAAGGATATTTTTCAAAATGCTAAAAATCAAATGAAAAACTTTATTAATAATGATATTATACAAAGTTGTTATACTTTAAATGTATTACCTATTTGAAATAAATGGTGCTCTGCAAAGGAAACTAGCTAAATAACCTGCTGCTGCTTGTCGCAGAGTACATGGAGATGATACATCACAACATTTTTTCCACAACCAATTGCAGAAGTTTTCGCATAAAGTAATTTTAAAACTAAGAAAGTAATAAATGATGTACTGAACATGACTACTATTATAAGTTGGAAGAATTTCACTTTCAAATACTGATAACAAGTCATGATATAATGATTTAGTATTTTCCCAACTGAAAAAAAAAAAATTAAAATTAATTGAGTACAATAAGTATTGAAAATAAAATTAATATGTTCTTTAATTGTACTTACATCAAATTATCATCAGAATCATGACAAGTAGTTTTCATATACATAAATATTCTTCTAAGGCAAATATCCAAGGTCTGCGAAAAACATTCTACTTCCATTTTCTCAGGATCTACTTGCATACATTCTCCATCTACATCCATTGGAAATATGTCTTCGATTTCAACATTAATATTTGATTCCAATCTATTCAATTCATCTTTTGGTATATGAACATCAATTTCCACTAGTCTATGAAAAAATTTTGTTAAATTAAAATATTTAAAGATTATTATAGTTAATATTATAAACTTACTTGGTAACAATAAGACTAAGAATTTTTTTTCTTAAAGATGGTGCATATTTAGTTATGCGTAATAAATTATGTATGTAATGAAGATTTGATTCAGCACCACTTTTTCTGAATGGAAACTTTTTTTGAAGTGCTGTTAGTAATAAATCCTTTGATCTAAATAAATTATTTGAATTTATTAATAGTAACAAACATCAATAATAATTCTTTATTTATAATACTCACAGCGGAATGACTTTTAAAAGAGCTTCAAGGGTCATGTGAACATTTTGATACCCTCTTTCTTCTTTTTCACTGGGCATACCATTGACACGGTCATAAACAGTATGATCAACTATAAAAATTATTTAAAATAAGGATTCATGCGTGATATTTTATAAAATTGTGTATGCGTTTACCTTGAGAAAAATTCGATACAAGTTGATCTATAGCGAATTTTGTATGATAATTGTATGCAGTACAAACATCAAGTAAAAATCCACGATATTCATTGACTACTTCATCACTTCTGTTCATCCACTTTAAAATCTAATAAAACATAGTTGGTATTGTAATAAATATAATTCAGTAATTTTCTTTTATATGTATTTTATAATA